TATTTTAACAGTCTGGATTCAGCTGAACGTTCCTGCTGCAGGTTTTCTGGAGACGCTGACGTGTTTCTTCTGTTTGTTCCTTCCAGCTGTGGAGCTTCTAATAAATCCATGAATGAGGCCTTTCTGCTTGTTCCTCTAACAGCAGGTTTATTGGCTTGTTTTCCAGATGATTCCTCTGGATTCTTTCGTCGGGCAGAGTGCGGACGGTAAAATGGTTCCCATCATCCCAGGAGGAAACAGCATCCCGCTGACCTTCTCCAACAGGAAGGAGTACGTGGAGCGAGCCATCGAGTACCGGCTGCACGAGATCGACCGACAGGTGACGTCACAGTTCACACGAGTGTATTATCAGTTAGCTAACAGCCTGGAGGAGACTCCTGCTGGTGAGGTCCGTTATCTGATAAAACACTTCCTGGATGTGTTGACACTAAAACCAGAGATCTGCTCGACAAGATGCTGTGAAATCACATCATCTCAGGCCTTCTGAACACCCAACACCTGTCAGTAATACTGGATCAGTCAAGAAATGTCTCATCTGATGACGAAATGTTTCTCATCAAGTTTAAATTTTACTCCTGAAATCTAAACCCTGCATTTGAAACAAACATTTAGACACGATGAACATCTGCAGCGCATAAAGTTAAATATTAAAACCATGATCATTAAACCCTGTATTATCAAAACCCGATCGTTAACCGGTCCTGTCCCGGCCCGGCTAGGTGGCGGCGGTCCGGGAGGGGATGTCCTGGATCGTCCCGGTGCCGCTGCTGTCGCTGCTGACGGCGAAGCAGCTGGAGCAGATGGTCTGCGGGATGCCGGAGATCTGCTGCGACGTCCTGAAGAAGGTGGTCCGGTACCGGGAGGTGGACGAGCAGCACGCCCTGGTCCAGTGGTTCTGGCAGACGCTGGAGGAGTTCTCCAACGAGGAGCGGGTTCTGTTCATGCGCTTCGTGTCCGGACGCTCCAGACTTCCCGCCAACACGGCCGACATCTCGCAGAGGTTCCAGATCATGAAGGTGGACCGGGTAAGTCCAGAACCAGAACCGTCGTTTATCAAGGACCGACTTCTTTTTTATATCAAAGTGTTCTGTTCTAAATAAATGAGTCAGTAAATGAAAGTACCGGGTCTCGGCTCCAGCGTTTGAAGCAGATCATCTTCTGGTGGCTGATGGTTCATCTTCTGGTGACTTTGCTGAAACGATCAGACTGAGATCAGAACACGTCACCAGCTGATGGTTTGTCTTCATTAACGAGTCATCGTGTGTTTGTAGATGCTGGTTGTGTGTTTGTGCCTCAGTGGAGGAGTTTCTAGAGTTGTTCCAGAGTGACGTCATCGTTCTGGTGTGACCAGAAGCTCCGTCTGGTCCAGCAGGTCGAGGACGATGTCAGATGATTAAATGGTCTCCTGTTGTGTCTCTGCAGCCCTACGACAGCCTGCCCACCTCCCAGACCTGCTTCTTCCAGCTGCGCCTGCCGCCCTACTCCAGCCAGGCCGTCATGGCCGAGCGGCTGCGCTACGCCATCAACAACTGCCGCTCCATCGACATGGACAACTACATGCTCTCCAGGAACGTGGACAACGCCGAGGGCTCGGACACGGACTACTGACACCAAACACAAACTGTGAACTCGCTCACGCAGGAAACTCGGGAGCCGACGGCCACTTTTTACTTCATTTTATGTCCTTTAAACAGCACAAGTTTCATTTCTCTTTGTGGTTTATTAGCAGTTTTTAATGACACAGAAATCCACACGAGAAGTGCATTTAGTGTTTTGTTTTTTTCTTTACTCCACATCCTATTTTCAGGGTTTCTGCATGGAGGTAAGTTTATTTGTTTGGAGATGTGTATAGAGATTAAACAGCAGGCGGCGGAGGGACGGGACGGATATTGTACATTGTGTAAAATGCTTCATTAGGAAAATGTTTTGCATAATATCCATATTTATTGTTTTCATTGCCTACGCCGAGTTTCCCAAAGCAGAAAAACCGACAATAAATGCTGCAGAACTGATCCGTTGTTTCGCTGTTTGACTGGGAAGAAAAACCGACGGCTCAGAAAGCAGACGTCACATTTATTCAGAAGTACAAAATATCACAAAAAGGCATCCTTCAGAGGAGTAAAGAAACGGTGGAAAACAGAACTGTACAGAAAGGAAAAGCTCTCATGTCTGAGCTGGGAGTTCACGCCAGCTGGTCGCGTCGGTCGAAGCACAGATTCAGAGTTTTACCGGAAAACACGCTGCAGGTCGCAGAAACCACGACGGTTCTCTGATGCGGTGCAGAACCAGGCGCCAGACAGAGCTGGATTCTGCTGTCAGTCTGAGAACCGACGTGGTTCCGTACAACCCCGGCGCTGTAAGCACTCGTCTGCACAGATGTCTGTCTTTGGCCAATCAGACTCTTTCCCCACAGCGGTAGCCTGATGATCACATGATGATGAGTTCTGTTTGGTTTTGGGAAAAGAGTGGCCGCTCCGGTTCAGCGGCGACACCTCGATCTGGGAACAGGTGAAGCTCTCGTGTTTCATGGACGCCAGCGGTTCTCAGACTGTTTGAGCCACGACCCCCAAGATGACACCAGTTTGTGTTCGTGACCCCCCAGTTAGAATTCTTCATATCTCATGAGCATAACTCTGCTGTTCGTACATTAATGCGTTAATTCCACAGATTGATCTCTGAACATGAACACGTTGAGTTTCTTTTGAACGAATGAATGAATTTATTTCGAACAAAAGAAAGAGAAAAAAAAAATAAAAACAAAAGAAAATGTTTTTTAAAAAGAGCAAAAAAGAATATTATCAAATACTCAAATCATATTAAGTCCAACAAAATCAGCAGGGAGAAGTGAACACTTTTGATTCTGACAGCCCCGGTACACATTTATCTGATAAATGTAGGCTTTATTTATTCTATTTATTTTTCACAATGATCTGGCGACGCCCCTAAATTATCGACCCCCAGTTTGAGAACCACTGCGTTACGCTAAAGTTGGACCGAATGCGTCAGAATCTGTAACAGAACCACACTTTGGTTTTAGTTTGAGTAAACCAACGTCATCATCTGCGAGAGTGTTTAAGGATAAATATGCAGCAGATTTCGTCGGGATGGTTTGAAACACGTAGACGTTAAATATTCATCCAATAGACGACAAAAGTAGTAGAACAACGACTACATGTGGTCCGACCCAGTTCCCCTCCATGTTGGGTGTTCTGGTTCTTCTGGTTCTCGACGTGTTCAAACCGAGTCTGGACGTTTGATTAACTCTAAACTCCAGAACTTGTGCTGAAGTAAATCTGAGGTGAGCGACCAAAGAGGGGAACCGGGTTTGTGTCGGGATGAAACGCCGAGGAGGATTTAATCTGGTGGATCTGAAACGAGCATCGAGGTAAAAATCTGAATCTGTGCTTCGGTCTGTTGCAGGAGACGCTTGTGGACTCTGAGGGGTTAACGAGGTTCTTAACGAGGTTCTGATGTTGTGGAGTCGGTGGCTGCAGCCCACAGTGTAGCTTCAGGACGTTCTGCAGCGTGTTCGTGCAGGATGCTGTCATAAACTAAACTTTCACCGTTACTGTGTGAAACTCTCTGTTTGTGCGATCTCAGCGGCTCAAACTTGTTCGTACTCGCATAAAACACCAAAATTCATGTTGCACAGCTGCAGGGGATTGTGGGTAAGAAGGTCCAGAAATCTGATCAGATGTCGTGGAACATCCTGGTATTTCTGGTGGTATATGTTGGACTGTGTCGCGTTTCACCTGCAGCAGAGGGCAGTCGGCACAACCTGCAGGACAAACGGTGAACTGCAGCAGAACTAACTTCAGCTGTTAAGTGTATCTTCAGAACGTTTCACTGCTTCACCACAGAACTACAGCTGTTCATCGCTTGCTTCAGAACCACCCACTGACAACAACAGTCATTTTCATGAAGGAAATGTTTTCGTCAATAGTCTGGCAGGAATGTCCCAATCAGGTTTTTATTATTTAGTATCTGCTGCTTACGCCAAGTGTTGTAGACCAGCTGCAGTACCTGGTTGTTCCACCAGGTGGAGCCTCTTCCTGTTTAGTCCTGTAGAGACCAGAGGAGGCGTCTACAGACTACAGCTCATGGTGGCAGCAGAGAGCATTGTGGGAGTTTAGCAGCAGCGGGACCATGACAGAGACTCTGAGGAGGTTCAGGACCTCCAACCAGAAGTAAATTCTTGCAGCATCAACTCGGGCAGCGTTCTGAACTCACAGCGTTATCAGATAAATGTTCAGTTTGCATTATAGATCAATCAGTTATTAGCTGATAATGCTGCATGATTAAGAAAATTATATAAATTTACGACAGTGGATGTAAACAAAGGATCAGAATTAGGTTCGTGCCGATACAGATTAATTAAAAACTGCATTGATCAGGACCTGGTGGTTCTGAAGAGAGCAACAGAACTTCTGACAGCAGGTGAAGATATTTTAAAGACAGTCGTGACTCAATAATCCGTCACTAAATGTAAAACCTTCTTCTATGTCGGATAACAAGGCTGTCGGATTGTCCAGACGGAGGTCCAGATACGAGGAGGGCTTGATGCTGGAAGGCTCATTAGTTGTTCATTATTGTTCATAGTTGTTATAATAAGTAGTGTGTTGTTTGAACACATCGCTGGATTTCAGACTAACTGGCCGGTGTGTTGT